TTTGCAGTTTACTTAATTAGGTCCCATAGGTGACCACTTAATTTGGTACCTATTGTCTACTGCTTACTGTGTTGCAGTAATTATTCTTGCAGGTATCTCCCTGTGCCCATATGCTAGAGCATCTCGTGGGCATATACTAGGGAAGAGAACTGTGGGGTCAAGTGTTGTCCTAGTCATTTTCCTCATCGCTGAAACACAGTATCTGATACTTGCAACTTCATAGAGGAGAAGTTTACTTTGGTTCATCATTTGCTGCAGGGCAGAAGCAGCATGCACTGGGGGTGGCTGAAGAAAGATGCACATGGTATAGTGGCTGAAGCAGAGAGAAAAATGAGGCACTGGAGAGGGAGATAAACCCTTCCAGGCCACACCCCCAATGACTCCCCCTCTTCTGACCAGACCCTACCTCCCATCAGTAAGCCAGATATAAGCCCCTATAATCCAATCATCTTCCAGAATCCTTACCTATGACAATGCATGAGGTTCTTAGGGTACATCTAGTTATAAACCATTATATGTGTGTGTTCTAACTTTATAGGAAAATACCACTAAGCTCTTCTGAGTCTTCCAATCTTGTTCCCCTCAGCAGCAAAGGTGGCCTCTCTAGAAGGCCATGCAATCCAATCAGGACTTATTCTCCTACCTCAAGGTGAGTTTTTAAGCATTTGTCTATTTGAAGGGTGTGAAATATCACTCATTTTAATTAGCAGTTCTCTGATTATCAGTGAAATTGAGATCTTTTCTTTATGGCTGCCAATGGTCTGCCTTCCTGCATTGTAAGATATTGTGACAGAATAAGAAACACATATTTGTTCTCTGCCCCTGGCTTCTGACAGCCACTTGAAAAAGGTGGCCCTAGAAGAATATTTTCTTCTAATATTTGGCCTTTGACTCAGGCTCCTGACACAGCTCCTAAATCCTTTGTAATTTCTTGTGTGATAGAAGCATCTTTTGTTTGTATGAAGCAGCTCTTGTTATCCTGAAAGGTCTCAGAACAGGAGCTGTTTGCCAGGGGAACTGAACATCTGAAAAGGTGTGAAAGTGTCAAAATCAACATGGAGTTCCTTGTGTCAGCCTCAACAAAAATAAATAGATAAAGAAATAGAATGGCAATTACAGAGAAAGAGTTCTTATGCATGATTGTCTGACAGTGAATAACACAAAAGAGTCTGCCAGGACCACAACCTTATACAAAGGCCACTGCAACTTTATACCACAAGTACTTCTGCTCTGCAACTCTGTTCAAGCTTAAACCAATGTCACTTGGACCTTTGTCGCTATTAATCACGTGGCAAAGGACTATTATTTCAAAATATGTGATGTGATGCTCATTTTTGTCCTAAAAAGTTCCTCTTATCCAGGTGTTGCAGTGCGCACCTGTAATCCCAGGACTTCGGGAGGCAGAGGCAGGAGGACTACAAGATCACTGGGTTACATCCCCAACCTTTTAAAAAAATGCTGAATTTTGAGATAGAGTCTTGCTACATCATTAAATTGCCCAGGCTGGACTTGAACTTTTGATGTTCCTATCTCAGCTTTCCAGAACGCAGGGATTACAGGTGTGTGTCACCACACATGACTTGTTTTGTTCTTTACAATAAACAAGTAAATGCAAGTATTTCCCTGAATTCTGTGAATTGTTCTAGAAAATTAATCGAATCTCAGAAGACTGTGGGAACCCTAATTTATAACCAGATGGTCAGAAGTAGGGCTGACAATCTATTTGTGAGTGGCATCGGAAGCAGGGGCAGTCTCTTGTGGCACCCAGTCCTTAACTGGTGGGATCTGATGCTAATTCCAGATGGTGTCAGAGGATACCCAGCTAGCACCTACTGGAGAAACTGCTTCGTGTGTTGGGCAGTGGTGGTGGTGGGGAGCACACAGCTGGTGTCAGTGCTGTGTGTTGTACTGAATTTAAAGGTAGAGAGAAAAAAAGCTTTTTTTTTTCCCCAGCAGACATAGGCACTTTCAATCTGTGTTTCTCGCATCAACTGAGCCATCTACAGATTCTTCTACAACTGCCCAGAACTGTAGACAATTAATTTGTGCTAGGTATGTGGATATTTGCTCATACTGAGGATACAGGCCACCAGACTGTTGCTCACTAACAGAAATAAAAATGGGATTTAGGAGAGGAAGAGAAAAAAAAATCTAGACTGGAGAACATTGAGATGTAAGTCTCATTTTAACACTTTTCAGGTTCACTGGATGGTCTGAACTTGTGAATTCGGTTCCTGTCATCAAAGGAAGAGGCTCTAGCTGTGTGTGGCTTCTCTGGAGAACGTTGAGGGCTTAGCTGAATTGGCTCGATAGGCTGATTCTGGGTCACACTGGACAGCGTCCTTCCTTCTGCGCCTAACTCTTTCTTTGGTGGAGCCGCACTATTGCCATCAGAGTTCTTTCAGCTTCCTTTGAGCACACTGGGAAGCACGCACTGTTGTCTGAGCAGTACCTGCATGTTGTGTTCTCTGTATCCAGCACTGAAAAAGAAACTGCCTGTGTGTCTCCAAACCTCTGGGGATTTCCCATCTGCAGATTTCCTCTCCCTCCTTGGTGTGTGTCAATGTCCTAAGGCATGCTTGGTTGTCATGATGGTGTTGGTGGGGGTGCTATTGGCATCCTGTGGGTAGAAGCCAGTGATGTTGCTAACCACCTTACAACATACAGGCAGCTCCTCTGCTCCCGAACAGTGAATGCTCTGGCCCAAGACATCAGCTGAGTGGAGGCTGAGAAGCCCTGATTGGCTTCTTGCAGCTGCCTGTACCAATGTACAGGTGCAATTGCTGTCACAGAGGTTTGGCTGCCTCCCTCCAGTCCACGGTGCAATCCCCGAGGGCAGAGACAATGCTGTAGCCAAATAGATGAAGGGGACTTAAATATTTGCTGAACAAATAAAGTCATTGGTGCCCTAAGGGACACCTGGGAAGAAAAACAAGGAAGGAGGACAAGTCGTCTAGAAGGCGACATCAATTTGAGAGCTGACAGGGGAAAGGTTCTATTTGAGTGTTAAACCCTAGTATCCTCTGGAGCTTTTTAAAGACAGAGAATAAATACCCAATATTGATTACTGACTGTGTAGTCAGCACTGTGTTTCACAGGCACTACTCAATGTGTTCCTCATCAGGACCCCATGGTGGGTAGTTGTTTTAACTGTAAGGAAGGGAAGACAACCTAGAGGTAAAAGTAACTCGTGCCCAGATGACAACGTCAGCAAGGGGTGGCATCACATGGTGCTTTCTTTGGGAGAAGGCATGAGTCTTCAGCCAACAGAAATACTCCCAAAGAGCTAAGCTCCTGCTGCAAGGACGGCTTTGCTTTCAATGTGCTGGCCTCACATTTATTTTACACCTAGGTGTGTGAGTTCCCATTAAAAAGGGAGAAATAGTATTTGAAATTCTAGTCATGTCACTTCAGGGGCAAGTGAATTCTGACTTTGTCTGCAACAACCTAAGCACAAATTGAAACTCCAGTAATAATGAGAGCTTGGAAAACTAAACACCTGGGGCTGATGAAAGTAATGCATTTGTCTCAGGGCAGGGGCTGAACGTGAAGCTAAGTGTTTTGAGGGAGAGACACGTCAAGACTAAATCTTTTCTCCAATCTTTGATGGATGTGCTAATCTTCTGGGGTCAACACAGCTCACCCTGGCAATGCGCTGTAGTAAGTTATTTAAGAGGCAGCTGCTTTTTATAAATGGACTATTCCATCAATTTTTAGGTTTTCTCAGAAATGGATTCCTTTATCAAAACAATATTTGCCATATGGAGCCCCAGCTCAATTGTGCCTTTTCTGTAACGGAGACTGAAGTGACTGGGCTCGGGAATTATTCTTTTCTTTTTTTAATCAGTACTAGGGATCGAACTCATGACTGCCTGCTTGCAAGGCAGGCGCTTATGCCACTGAGCTAAATCCCCAACCCCTATTCTTTTCTTTCAATTTGGCATGACATTAATGCTCTGTAGAGCAAATAAGATAACAATAATGTCAGATAGGTGATTTTCATTGTTAGAGCAGCAGTATCTGCAGACCATGGCTTTTGCTTCCTTTGCAGTGTAAGTTGGACCCAGGGGTGCTCTACCATCCCCAACCTGTAGGCTGTTGCTTTTCGCTCGCTTTGCACTGTGAGTTGGACCCAGGGGTGCTCTACACTCCCAGCCTGCTTCTCTAAATAAAGTTTTATTGGAATACAGTTTGTTACCATCTATGACTGCTTTCACACCAAAAGGGCATTTGCAGCACAGAACTTTTGGCCTGCAAAATCAAAAGTACTATCAGGCACTTTACCAAGTATGCAGGCCGAGCTCTGCACTAGGCACTAGAAAGAAGTGGTACTTGTCTCACTGCATGCTTCAGTGACTCCTTTTCAGTGGTGCCTGAAGGAGTCAGTCAGAGAGAACATCTGGCTTAAGACATTTGTGAAGTTGAGGTGGGTTAAAGAAAATATACAAAGACAAAACATTTCATTTTGTCAAGACAAAGTTTCTCATGTTAGCAATGGTAGACATACTGCCGACTTCCAAGTGGCTGACATGACTTCCATCCTATTACACTTTACCTCTAAAATATCCCGCCAAAGTGTTGTGTGTTCAGAGGTGAGATGGGGCTTTTGGAAGGTGACTGGATTGTAGGGGCACTACAGAGTACACTCCATTGATGAGTATAGTGCCCCACTGATGAGTTCCTATGCTATTATGGGGTGAGGACTGGTTGAATGGATGGGTTGCTGGGGGCATGACTTATGAGGGTCCCCTTCTCCTCTCTCCTCCTCCTGGCTGCCATGAGGTGAGTGGTTTTCTTCCATCATGTCTTTCCACCATGCTTCTTCTGCCTTAGACTGACCTCTCCTAAACCGTGAATGAAAACAGATTGCAGGTGTCAGGTATTTTGTTTTAGTGACAGGAAAGCTAATAGAATACACAGCTCCAGGGAGGCCCACTGGGCCTGTGGTGAACACACTTGTATCTCAGCATGAAGGCTTCACTGCCAGAGAAACACACAGGAGAGATGAACAGAGTTTATTCAAAAAGGAAGAGGTGAGGCTGGGGACTGTTCAGAGGCATTCCCTCAGAGCCCTGTTCCCAGGACTCAGAATTTCAGAGGGATAACAGGCCAGTATTTGGGATGCTTTCTGTCACAGTGCTTGTCAAAGCTCAGCTGTACTGCAGTCTCCATGGCCAGGATCTTGGCAGCACTGTTCCCATACAGGCGCTTCATCTCGGCTTGGCGCCGCTCATCTGGCCTCTCGGTTGGGGGCTCTATGGTCCGGCGGTTGTTGTAGTACAGGTCATGGTCAGCATTCACATATTCATTCAGGCGCTCTGCCTCCAGCTGCTGCTGCCGCCCTGGGAACAGACAGGAACATGAGCTTGTGTACACACACAAGAGGTCCCTTGGCTTTCCACTGGAGCCACCTGGGTCAGTAGAGAGGGACCCTGAGGCATGACCTAATGAGGAACCAGGGCCTTCAAGCCACCAAACTTCTGTCATATGCCCTAGAAATACAGGAGAAAAATGAAGCTACTTGAGTTTCTCTCATCTGTCTAGCTGCCCCCAACCTGCACAGCCACAGAAGGCCAACAGTGAGGTCTAGGCCAGCACAGGAATGATAGGCTTCCTGCAAAGTCTAGAGGTACAAGAAATACTTCACATCACAAACGTGGTGGTGGAGAAAAAAAATCACCTCTGTGAAACAGGTACTAGGTAAACTAGAAAATAAGCACTAGTAAGTATAGATTGCAACAATCACTGATGATCCCTTCAGAAGACACAAATCATAGCAGGCAACAACAGCAGTTTACGTGATTAAACACTTGCTAGAGGGACAAGGGCAAAGAAATGACCTAATGCAATGGAGGATTCTGACTTGTGAGCTGCCTGCACTAGAGGGTTGGTTTCCTCACTGTGGGGACTGAATTTGCCACTTTATAGGTTAGCCTAGGGGATACTGCAAGTTTCACACATCCGTTAAATACTTATAACATGTGTACAATGAGGCCATAATTTGTATGTTTTGCTGCTGTGTGGGCTTGTACCATCTGATACAATTTTCTCATGCTGCTTGATGACCATGCATGTACCACTGGTGGTATAAGCCAGGGGGAATATGTTAGTTCCATGAATTTCAATGGATTCTTGGCTGCAGATATAGCTCAGGACTAGAGCACTTGCCTAGCATGCAGGAGGCCCCAAGTTTAATCCCCTAGTGCTGGTAAACCCAGGGCCTCCCACAAAGTAAGAAATAGTCACTGAATTTATTTTCTCTATTTTTTTAACTATAGCAAGTCCCAATATCATAATTTTATGTAAATCACAACATAAAAGTGTCAACAAAACAATGTTGCATCAGGTAAAATTTAGCTAACTCACATGGATTCTGTAAGTGACTGTCAAGAGAGAAATTGATAGCAGAGGGTACATTATCTGTAGCCACTATTGCTACCAAGAGAAATGCCACTAGATAAGGAGTAAAGATGGCTGTAGGGGAATAAAACAATGACATAAATCATTCTTTCCCTGCTGGTTCCCTCTCCACTAGTATCTGGCAGGGAACACAGTAGTGCACTAATCAAGTGTGAAGGGAAAGATATTTATATGGCTATGTGTAGTCACTCTCATAAATTCTGTTCTTTCTAAATATCACCTTGGAGACAGAAGAAAGGAGTTTTCAAAACGCAAGATATATTCTTAAAAATGGACACAGCCAAATGTGTGTGGCCCCTGCTCCCCGAGAGCACTTGCAATTTAATTTTGCATATGGATCATATGGATGTAATATATAATAAGCCAAATGACTGTCAGACAAAGTATCCCCAAACTGCTATCTTACCCATGGAAAACAGACATGGTTGATTTACTGTAAAATGAAGAACAAAGCCAAATATTAGATTAACTCATTCCTGCTGGCTTAAACCACCAGTGGCACATGCATGACTGTCCTATCCGATTCTACCATCAGATGAGACAGTTATATATGTACCAATAGTGGTTCTGAGCCACATGGCAGCAAGGCATACAATTTATGGCCCCATCATGAACATGTTAATATGCAAAGCTGTTGGAGGCCAGTAAGCATTTGTTTTCAAGTTTGGTTTTTCTCCCAGGTTTGAAGTATCAGTAATCTGTTAGGTTATCACAGTTGTTTAATTCTATGTCCTCCCAGGGATGGTGGTGTGTGTCTATAACCTCAGTACTTGGAAGGCTGAGGCAGGAGGATCACGGCAAGTTTGAGGCCAGTCTGGGCTACACAATGAGTTTAAGACCTGGACTACATAATGAGAACTTGTCTTAGGAAAAAAAAATTCTTTGTTGCTCTAAACTGAGCTCTGTTGCAGCAGTGTGCGAATAGATGAACTGGATCCTAACTGGTCAGAGAAAATAGCCATTTCCAGACATTTTTCTGACTCCTAGTTAATGATCAAGGAGAGAAAAAATATTAAATTTGAGGTCAGAGAAAAGCTCTCGGTGGCTGCAGCATCTGCTTATTTCCATAAGACCCCTTTGTGCTCCTGGTATGGAAGTTGGTGGAAGTCTAGGTGGCATCCAGCTTCTGTGCCCTGTGCCCAACCAATTCCAACCCTGTTCTTCTAGTGGACCTCAGGAGGGAGTGGAAAGGTGGCCTAGGATACAGATGTGCACTTTCAGATTGGTAAGTTGAGTCTGGCTTCTAAATGCATGTGCAGGCCTTTTGCATTCAGGCCTTGCAAAAGACCTAGGAATAGCACTTCTGGAAAGCCCTGGCCATTCAGGGTGTGAAGCTGCTGGCTGAGCCCTGGACTTTCCATTAAAGGTGGAATGTGACTGTTGGGTCCCTTATTCAAACTTGCCCCAAGACAATTCATTCACAGACAGATTCAGTGGCACATCAGATGTTAAACTTCTTTTCTAAATCTGATCCCCAAGTTTAGGAGTTTTAACAAACACCAGGGTCTTAGGTCTCTTCATAGTGCTGTTCTTGGCCATCAGGATATGTGAACTTAGCCCTTTTATGTCTTCTTTTAAGATTTAAAATGTTTAAAATTATGTTCCTTTTTGTTACTCTTCTGGCAAAAAAAAAACCCACCTTACAGATATACCCACCTTACTAGGTATAAGGAGTATATGGGGAGGCATGTTTTCTGTTCACATTGATGTCTTCCCACGAAACACGGTGTGAACACCATGCAAGCACACGGGGCAGGCAAGGAAGTTCATGCCATGTTCCAAGTTTATATGCAGCATTTGCTCACTGGTTACTATCACAGGATCTCACTTCTTAAAGAAGGTCACACAGTGTAAACTGGCCCAGTGCTGCAGGCTGATAATCTGAGCACTCTGACAGGCCAAGCAAGAGGGTTCAAAGTTTGAGCCCAGCCCAGGCAACAACTTAGTGAGAGCCTGTCTCACAATAAATACAATAGGGCTGGGTATATAGCCCTGGGTTCAATTTCTAGTGCCAGCAAAAATCAAAACAAAACCAAACAATTCATTCACAGACAGATTCGGTGGTACATCAGAAGTGCCAAACAAAACCACACCATGTAAGATACAGGGTTAAGAGTCAAAGAATTAATGCCTAACTCTGTGTTCTTGACTCTCTACCTGTATTTCCTTCTCATGCAGGCTCCCTCTTGAGAACTGAAGACCCAATATTGTCACTCCCTGCCTCTCAAGAGTTGCTCTAAGACATTGACCCAGCGCATGAAAAGTCTAACAGACCACAGACTCTGACAGTTGTACTGGCACATATGCCAAGCTCAGAGGGCCATCTATGTGGAAGGGCACTGTCTCCTTTGCTCACTGCTGTATCCCCAGCCTAGGAGGCCACTACACCTGACACAAAGCAGGTGTTCAGGAAATCACCATCCAATCACCATCTCAAAGGGTACACATTATCTTTGTCAGTAACACTTCTATATGCTGTCAAAGAAAAATGAAGACAACCCAGTGAGAGAAACAGATGCTCCAATCTCACAGGACCCTGGGCAAGGCTCCCCGCCTTGGGTTCCTCAGAGGCTCCATGGTGCAGGGCTTGTCCCTAAAAGATAACAACAACAAAACAACAACAACAAAGAAAGCAATACACTCAGTAAATCTTGAGTGGAATGAACCACCCTGTTTGGAGGCCCCTGTTTATTCTGGTTCCTATTAATTGCCTCCTTACTCCCTAGCAGGGACAGAAAGAGTTCTCAATCTCTCACAGAATTTCCTAGATCAAGTTAAGGTGAGAGCCAACTGGACAGAGACCCTTCCAGCCAAAGCTGAGAGGTATAGGTGCCTCGTCATGGACAGGTGGGTCAGCTTTATTGGAAACAACCACAGAATTCATTGTTACATTTTTTCTCTTGTAGGGCATCTGGCCAAGAGAATTTGCTTTGCCACACATCAGAAATACCTTTGAATCCCATTCCAGCTTTAAAATGGGTTTGCAACAGGTTGAGTAGTGTCTTCATAACTTCATGCCCATCCAGAACCCCAGGGGATGACCTCATTTGGAAATAGGATCTTTGCAGATGTAATTAACAGTAAAGATGAGATCATATTGGACAAGGGCATTGCTGATACAACAGAGATGAGGCGTTCTTGATCTAATTATGCTTGTGTTTTCCCTCACTTGTGCCCATTAAATACAATGTGTGTTCTTCCTTAGATGACAGAGAGGATGACACAGAGACATAGTAGGAAAGCCACATGATGACAGGGGGGTGGAAACTGGAGCAATGCTGAACAAGCCAAGGAATGCAAAGGTCACCAGAAATGAAGCAGTGTCTGCACTGACATCCTGATTTTGAATTTTTAGAACTGTGTTGATTTAAGCCACCAAATTTATGCTAATTTGTTATAGCAGCCCAAGGAAACAAATAAGAGGATTAACAGGCAGACAGGGTTAAAACAAGAAAAACAGCAAGATATTATTTAGGAAGAACTTTACTGGACTTTCTCTGGGTTTAGGGTATCTAATGTTGATATATTTGTCTTAACCGATGTTTCTACATGATGTTACCAATTTCCTTTACAGTCTATAAAGGAAAAAATTATAGGAAATTACTTCAAGTTTATAGAATTTTACATAGCAGGAAACCATTCAATATTCAGAGGATACAGTAGTTAGCCCCAAAGCAGACCATTTTGAAGGACAAATTACTAAGATAATAAATATTAAGGAGTTAAAGAATTTCGTTTCCCCTCATTTTTCTTGGACTATCCTCCACTCAAAGTGTGTGCCGGGAGCTGAACCCAGGCCTTTGCACTAGGCTACAGCTCTAGTCCTTTTTATTTTTTATTTTGACATAGGGTCTTACTAAGTTGCCCCAGCTGGCCTTGAACCTTCAATCCTCTGCCTCAGTCTCTTGATGGGCTATGATTC